GACCTGAACACCTTCTGCATGAGGCTTCGCGAGAACTATGGTATTTTCCCTCCATTTCTGGAGACTTGGAACAGCTGCTGACTTGGTGCTCCTTAGGCTGGCACTTTCCCGAGCTCGCCAAAATCGTCAACAGCAATGAACAATACGCCAAGGTGGTCTTGCAGATTGGTGACAAGTCGCGTCTGAGCGACGAGGATCTTCACGAGCTCGCTGCTGTCGTTGATGACGACGAGAGCATTGCGCAAGCAATCATCAACGCTGCGAGGACCTCTATGGGTCGTGATCTTTCTGCAGCAGACATGGAGATTGTCATGGCTTTCGCAAAGAGGACCGCTTCCCTGGCTGCATACCGCAAGCAGCTCAGCAACTACCTCGGAAGCCGCATGAACCAAGTCGCTCCTAACCTGGCTGCTTTGATCGGTGACACCGTTGGTGCGCGCCTTATCTCTAAGGCTGGTTCTTTGACCAACCTTTCCAAATACCCTGCCAGTACCGTCCAGATTCTCGGTGCCGAGAAGGCGCTCTTCCGAGCCCTCAAGACCAAGGGAAACACTCCCAAGTATGGTCTTATCTACCACAGTTCGTTCATCGGCCGCACTGGCCAGAAGTCAAAGGGAAGAATCTCGCGTTTCCTTGCCAACAAGTGCTCCATTGCCTCCAGGATTGACAACTTCTCCGACACACCAACATCGAAGTTCGGTGAGGCCCTCAAGCGTCAGGTCGACGAGCGCATTGAGTTCTACGCATCTGGTGCTCCTCCTGCGAAGAACGCGGCGGTCATGCAGGCTGCCATGAACTTGGTCCTGAATGACATTGGTGTCGAGGACCCTACTGCGACCGCCACTGAGGATGTTGAGATGGCCGATGGCGTCACTGCCGCTGCTACTGAGCAGGCTGTACGCAAGGAGAAGAAGGACAAGAAGAAGTCCAAGAAGTCAGGCGATGACGAGGTCTCTGACAAGAAGTCCAAGAAGGAGAAGAAGCGAAAGGCTGGTGACGAGGAGGATGGTGAGAAGAAGAAGAAGAAGAAGAAGAGCAAGGCGTGATGACCTGCCCTAACCAGCTGTATTCATACCCTTCTCGCATTCTGGATCGGCGTTTTACGATGTGTCGGTGTTTTTGGAGTTGTTTTCTGTGCTAGTTAGAGAGGACTGGATCTGGGCTATGAGTTTCCGCACGCTGTTCACGAATGGTGGATGGTTCTGTATACCTCGAGCTGTTATCAAAGTTACAAAAGCATGATTCTTCCACAACTTGACATGGCGATGATGAAGTGCGCGGGTATCGCAACCAGGCTAGATTGGTGCACATGTGGAGCGTGCCTGAATTCCGGCCCAATCAGAGACCCCTGCAAGAGATCGGAGCGCCAAGACGCTTAGGCCACATGCAAGCTGCGAACCACCAGACAACTATCTATAGAATAATTCACGATGAACGGTGATACAAGCTGCAAATGCTGGCGCATTAGTAGTTCGCCAGTACCGAGTGACTTTTTCGACGGCTGCATGTGGTGTTTGCGGCCATTCGCATGTATGCACGGCAATTAACGTCAGGCAGCGGCTAATGCGCCTCTTTGTATGTCGCATGTTTATGGTGCAATGGAAGAGATACATCACCTGTTTGTTCGGGACTATTACTAGAGAGCAAAGTAATCGGTCATCGCAATATCGTTGAGCTAGGTAGCTACAAAGGGGCTGTTCCGGCAAGCATATGACGAAGGGGAACGTTGGTGAAAACGTCAACATGTCATGTTTGATACGCCTAAGACCTAACACAGCAGCCGGCATAGACCCAGGGTTCATTCACAGTGCGCAGCGCCCCGGACTCGTCCACTGCTCTGGCGTAAACTGTTTTTCTGTTCTAGGGCTCGTCGTAACCCAAGCTTTGGCCCGCTGCTGTCCCAAATCGCTCGAATGCCTACTTGAAGCCCTGAACCCCCCGAGAAGGTCTGGAGACTTCCTTCGCACTTTCTCTTCCTCTATTGTCCTCTCTCTTTTCTGTACAATTTTCTAACGCTGCAACTACCTTTCCATCGATACAGCTCTTGCGGAGGCGGTTGTCATCAAGATCTCGTTAGACATCGAAACTTGGTGTTCCTTGCCGTGCATCAGACGCTCTTTAGACATCTCCCGGTCCGGCTCTCGGCTGCACCTCGACTTTGGTGTTCTCGCAAGCCATTGCAGTAGTCTGCTATCCACACTTTTTCTGGTGTTGAATCTGCAAACCCGTTCGGCCAGCACCAGGGCCCTGAATCTACCTGCGCCCCTTCGCCGCTCAAATCGAACATTCTGTTGTCCATTTAATTTGCCGTCCACACGCGCTAGAAGCATTCTGCCATCTTTCTAGGGACTGCAGCGATTTAGTGTTCTGCGCCATGGACGTAGACGATGCATCTTCGCCGGGCAGTCTAAGCTCGCCCCCGCACTCGCCTGAGCAGGGCACTCCGACATCGACTATCCGCACTCCTGCAGGTGGTGTTGGTGTTGGAACTAGCACACCAACCCCTGCAACTGCATCACCAGCTCCACGCGGTCTTACTGCGAGCGGCCTTCCTCGTAAGAAGCCAGGTCCCAAACCAAAAGCAAAAGATCCCAGTGCACCTGAGCCAGAGAAGAAGACACGAAAGCCCCGCAAGTCGGAGCCCAAGGACCCAAATGCTGCACCCGCTCAACGTAAGAGAAGGACAAAGGCATCGCTGGAGGCACAGGCACAGCCAGTCGCACAAGCCGTGGACGAGAAACCGCCTGTGCAGCAGTCGCCTACACCTCAAGCTGCACCCAGTGAGCCCGTCGCTGTCTTGCAAACCGAGCAGCCGCCCGTTGTCTCACAGCCTGCTCGCGTCTTGAGCAATCCCGAACCCACCCTTCATAGTAACCCAAACCTTTCACACATCAGCGTCGCGCCCTCAACACCGCGGCCATCTAGTTCAGGCCAACGATATGATCCCATTCGCGGCGACACCTTTGAGTCAAAACCACAACCTCCAGCAAGTGCACCGCCGCCGCCCGTTTCACCCCCGATCAACCACCGTGCTAGTGCCTCACCTTCCATCACAAGTCTTATCGACCCGCCATCTGCCAGTAATTCATTCTATTCGCACCCTCCCAAACTCCAGCAACAGGCATCCATCACATCAGCACCTGTGTCACCTGCCGCCTTCTCCACGCGACCAGCCTCGGTCCTTCCTTCTCAAGACTACTCACCTCAGCTTCAACAACAGCAGCAGCAGCCGCAGGCACCCCTCCAAACTCAAGCTCAACCGTACCCCACTGCCTCATCGGGACCGACTCCTATGGACATTGACACCGAGCCCAGCAAGCCAACATCAGTTCCCATGGCAAAGGAAAATTCGACAAACTCGGGTACACCCTCGCAATCGAATGCACCAACCCCACCTACTAAAGCAGCTCGCCAAAAAGAGGCCCCGCCGCCGTTGCCTACTGGAAGTGGCCTCTTGTCGGGAACGCCGTTTGGCCCAGTTGCAAACGCCAATGGTGCATCCGAGACACAAGGCACCAACATCTACCTGACATTTGATCTGAAGGGAAAGGAAAATGTTACAATCAACTTTGCACAGGAGGTCGAGAAAAAGTACGGTTTCGCTGCCCTGCATCCTCGCATCGCTGCTCGCAAAGAGCGTCAGCGCCAGATTGCAGCGGCAGGTACCGCACTTGAGCGAGCTGCAGGCGGTGGCTCAAATGACGATCAGTCTGTTGATTTGTCCGAGAACGAGAGTAATGTCGAAATGGGCGGCATGGACGACGAGACATCGGCCAAGGAGAACGGAGGCAAGAAGCGACGCAAGCGCAAACAAGAAGATTATGACAAGGAGGATGACTTCATCGATGATACAGAGCTGGCCTGGGAACAGCAAGCTCTCATGGCGAAAGACGGTTTCTTTGTTTACAGCGGCCCACTCGTGACCGAGGAGAAGCCAACTGTAGAGAGGTACGTAACTATCATGTCTCTAGATCGAATTAAGCTAACACCAAGTAGGGCCGACGGCACCGTTAGACGCGGACGAGGACGCGGACGTGGCGGCACTGTACGAGGAGAGGCTTCAGGTCGCGGCAGAGGACGTGGCGGAGGTCCTGGCTCTCGTGGTGGTTCTACTGTCCGCAAGCCTCGCGTTACTAAGGCTGATCGTGCGCAAATGGAACAGGAGAAGGCAGCTCGAGAATCCATGGCTAAGACGCTGACTAACATGTCTACTCATGCCGGCCAGGCTAGTGCTATGTAGCACACAGGACTTGACCGAGAGAAGAGACCACTTCGAACTCTCCGACCCCGTCCGCCAAAGGGATCAAGCCACTACAGCCGCAAATAACATTTTCTTCTTATTATTGGCATCGGAACTCTGGCACGGTTCTTTATTTCATGTTCGATTCTTCAGTATTCCTTTTGTTATCTGTACGATACCCTTAGCGGACGTTGCGATAGCCACTTCGCTAGGCAGGATGTAAAGTCGGGTGGTGTTAGTGTATGCATGACTTCAGTAGGCGTTGTCCTCATACGGCGTATAGTCGTTCTCAAGAACATAGAACCATTACTTCAGTCAAGTCTTTCCTGCCTTTCTGTCTCTTGTGCCTGGAATTATGTTCGATGACAAATTCGACGACGGTGATTTTCGCGCGTTCATGTACACGCCAAACATATCGGTCAACTGACGGGATGGTTCGAACAGGTAGTATCTTCCTATTGACCTTCGTACTTAGGTAGTAGAATGTCTCAGTGGACCTGTCTCAGTAGTGCACAACTGTGTTTGTTTTACCTGAAGTAGTAAGTGCAGCTCCTACCTCTTTCACAACCACTCTTACTTTCTGAGATATTTCTACGTCACGCTCGCGTATATCAACTCGCACACTGCATTATCAACAATTGCTGTTACCTCACGTACAGACTCACAATACAATTGACAATTCCTCAAGATACACGACTATCGCGCAGTGCTACTCTCACAACTTATTCAACTCAGCCTCACACTGTATCTCTAAGGCAGCATGGTCGGTTCTGCGACATATCGCACTCATCTCCCAGCGGATGTAGCTCTCACTGAGTACTCGCGCAAGTTCTACGATGGGACGTACAAGTGGGATTCGGAGGGCTTCACTGACGAAACTGGAAGTGGGTTAATTTACGGCCAGACTACCGCTATCTTCGTGACTGACTAGCCCAGAGTATCATGAATTTGATTGCTATGATTCTGGAGCCCGAGCTCCCACACCCTTACCTCCGATGTGCTTGAGCGATGATGAAGCAGACGGCGGGACTGTAGAACGCGAAGAGTCCGCATTCCATATGCTGGGGGACGAGACCAACAGTCTTCTATCCGCAACAAATGTTAAACACAGGGAGGTAGTTGCAATGCAGCGTGATGAGCTGCTTCGTGATCGCACTGATACAAAGCATACTATCGGTAAGATGGAGGATGCCAGCCCTGCGACACCTTCGAAAACCATCGCAGCGGGTCTACGAGACTTTGCTTCACCCTCAGAACTATCAGAATGTCCTTCAGATATATCCGAATGGGACGTGGGGAGACCAGTAAGTCCAAGTGAATGGGCCGAGATCTGTGGTTCTTGTCCCATTATACAGCACAATAACTAATGGCAACCCCAGATGTCAAGACCAAAGACGATTGCAAAAAAGCCTGTCGATGAGATGTTCGAGCAAGACGATGTCGATGCACCCGAGCGGAAACCTACAACACGAGGCGTCGCACAGAAAGTCAAGAAAGGTATTAGGAAGCCAACGGCCGCATCAATCAAGCCCTCTCCTAGGATAGAGACTGTGCAGGCCGGCAGCTACATGGAGAGCGCTGGGGCGACGACTCGGCGTCGATCGACACGGCTCAATCAAGGTGGCAAGTAGAGTGCCTTCTGTTATGAGCATTCAACGGCCGTTCAGAGAAGAATGCAGACCTTTTACAGTCCAGACTTCTTTGGAGTTCGAAAAGTTTATGTTCATGCACATCTTTGGCATGTAAAATTCAGGGAAGCCGGTGCCACGGAGCATATCCGATCAAAGAAGTGCGGTACTACACCATAATAATTTCTAATAAGAACCCTTCCGTCACAATCCCTCATCTCCCCAGAAAGACATCTGCACATCTCTCTGTCTGAGCATGCTCATGATAAAGCGCACACCTTGCTCCCCTCCACGGCTTACATGCCTCCCATCTCTTTACCTCCCCGGTTACACCACCTGCAATATCTTCCTGCTCCTCTAAAACCTCAAGTCTCCCTCTCCCATCCTCCCACCTTGCCATTGCAACACTCCCCTCCACACATCGTGTACAAAACGCTACACAACAGTCTTCACAAGCCACCGCCCCAAACCTAGGTGGCAGCACAATCCCACAATAGTCGCAAGCACGAGTGGTATGCCACGATACCGGGCACCACATCCGCAACCGATGCCTCTGCATAGCCTGCGCACATGGCCTCTTCAAATGCACAGTCAGATCGCGAAGAAAGTCTTCGTGCCACCAATCCCCATGCGAGTCTATCAATCGATCTGTTTTCTTGAACGCGAAGAGATCGAGAACGAGGGTGCGTAAAGGTGACGAATCACGAATTTCTTCGTACAGAATACGAGTATCACAAGGCGTCAGAACGCTATTCGTCTCATCAGCTAGATCGCTAATCACGTCCACGACAGCATTCCTGGCGCCTTCTAGAGCTAGTCGATCGGCCAGAGCGTAGACATGGAGGAGAGTATAGTATGCTGGTTTTTCGTCTTTGAAAGGCGTGGATAGAATGGAGGTGTAGAGCCAGGTGACGAGGATTTGGAAGTGCTCAACGGAGACATCGTCAAGTGTTATACTGTTGGTTTCTGATTCTATGAATACCAACGGGCCGTTGAGTGCGGCGCGGAAGTAGGAGGATTTCGATGTAAGGAGGCTAGTGTGAATTTGGAAGGGTGTGAGATCGGAACCAACTAGAATTGTGCTGGTCGTTGTGAAGTCGGAGGTCTTTGTCCTGTCAGACATGAGTTTGTATGCTTTTCCGGCGTACGTCGAGGTCGGGCGGGATAAAACGTGAGCTATTATGCAACCATTCTGGCTGATGATTTGGCTCACTTTCATGTTTAACGTACCTTGTCTGCTCAGATCGTGCACCTGTAAATGTATATGGTGATGGGAGATTTGGTAAGAAACCACGATCTGTGTCAACACCAACGCTGCGTGGTACAACTTTGCGCATCATGTTTTCTGACCGGATTCTACAAGCCAAGGTCCTGTGATTTTGCTATCTGCGGCCTATACAGTGCGCTGATTAATGTAACCCAATATTCAGATGAAGATGGAGAGCATTTAGGTAAACTTGGCCTGGAGACTGTAGCTTCGAGCTTTGAAGGCGGAGGTTCAGTCAGCGCATGCAGGCTATCATTGAGTAAAGGAATGTTGTTTCAAAACGTATCCTTGAGTATATCCGTAAAACTTAGCAGTGGACAACGAACAAACCTCGGTATAGGATTTCGTTCAGCAAACAATCACGTTGTGGGCGCGCGCAGATGACGAAAATCGGCTTTGTTGTTGTTGTCTATAACAGCAAACGCCACGCCACAAGCAGGTCTTTGTTGTCTCAGCAAGATGCTTTGAAATCGAGCAAGACAAACAACATCGTACAATGAGCGAGAGAACAGGAAGAAAGTCCTTGTAATGTTGGAGTGGAAAAGCGCGTTATGCGTCTATTTAATATTTTGATAATATCTGGGTCGTGGTTCTCGTAGCGTGCAACTACATGGCTGGAATCGTGGAACTGGTAAGGACCGTTCGAGATGATCAACCTGGAGCACTGAGTACTCTGTTCGTTGGTCTCGCGTTCTGTAGACTGCCTGCAAGACGGTACTACATACGGCCGAGAACGGTTTAGGGAGAGAAATCTCACCAACTATTTTACACTCCTGCAAACGCCCCCAGATCGCTCAAAGGTTGAGGTACGTTACAGGTTCATACAAGAGAGCTTTTGAAAATTATGCACCTATGCGACAAAGTTCTTGACGTTGTTGAGCCACTTGATGTACTCCTTCTGCTCCTTGTGGTCAATGTAGTCGGGGATGAACAATGCGAGGCGGGTGTTGATGCCACGCTCCTCAAGGTACTTCTCAAGGAGGATCTGGAGGTCCTCGTCGAGGTTGCTGAAAGGAGGGCCCTGCTGCAAGTTAGAAGTGTTGTATATTATATGCAAGGTTTCCACATACAGTGTAGAGAGCGCGTCTTGACCAGTCCTTCTCAGCGGTGGCAGGGTCGGCTAGGTCAGCGGACGGGAAGTAGTAGAGGTCCTCGATGAGGAAGTCACCGTCCTGAGCGGTAGCCTCAATGGCAAGAGCACCCTTTCCGGGACGCTCGATGCGGATGCTGGCATGAGCAGGGAAGCCCTGCTGTTCGCCATCATTCTCGTAGTCGTCCTCGAGCTCCTCACGGTCGGCGGGAGCAATGCGGTCCTCGGGGGCTACGCGAATGTTTCCATCCTGTGTCCTGCCCTGGTTGATGGCACCCTTGGTGTTGGCGCCACCAGACTGTACGTCCATGTCGGCGTCGTCATACATGGCGCTGTCTTCGGCCATGTCCTCGCCGGGCAGGTTGCTGTTGAGGTCGGCGGTGGTGAAGGTGATTCGGATCTTCTCGTCGTTGAATGTGCGGGTAAGGACTACTTCCTGGTTGCCGGCCTTGTCCTCAATCTTGTAGTTGTCAGCATTGAGCCAGCAAAACCAAAATGACGCAAGTATTTACCTCAAAGGGGCTGTTCTCAAGGTACTCCTTGATGTTGTGAGAGAGGTCCTCGTCCTCCTTCATGCCCTCTTCCATGGAGATCTCGCTCTGAAGCTTCGCGACGAGTTCCTCATTGACTGATTCATGTTAGTTATATACATCCAATTGTAATTTACTCAATGCATACTACCAGAGTCCTCTCTCCTTGCTGCCGACATGGAGAAAGATGCTGTGAGACGAGGAATTGGAGCAGCCCATGCTGCTGGCTGGAAAGCCTGTCGCAGTGACGATTGCGGGCGAACGGCTTTGGTGGAGAAACGAGCAGCAGACCGCGGGGCGCTGCGGGCGAGGTTCCTTAGGGACATCATCGTGAATAAAAAGGGTATATGGATTTGGGGTACTGAGCGACGACAAATTCCAGTACGATGGCAATGCGATAGATGGCTATAGAAGGCGTGGACTTTTCGATGGCCCAAGCTCAAGCGGGCTGATGTCAGGCGGGATGCTTGGCGCCGAAATGCGGGCCCGATTGCTCACCTCCGTCCTCGGCCTGGTAGCTTTAATATTTTGCCGTCTCTAGGAAATCAAGTATATACTGGCGCGTTAGACTTTCTACCAATTGACAATCGCATTGTTCTCTGAGTGTGCTACCTGGGGTTTCAGTGTGAATTTACTACTACGTCATTATTCTGAATCGCTACTGCCGCACGCGACGTAGATACGCCAAAACTTTCCGTCATTGCAGCGCGCGCAAACCCATTCTTGTCATCACCTAAACACACTTGAGCCAGGTCAACATGGCGGCCGCACCGACAGAGAAGAAAAAGGCAAGCGCAATGCGCTCAATCCTGGCTGGTGCAAGTGCAGGAGCCGTGGAAATCTGTAACGCTTGCTCCCCCGTCATGGCGTATACTAAGTACTGACTCCACGCCAGCAATCACATACCCTGCTGAGTGTAGGCACTGAATAACATCTACTTGCACAAAGACACCGAGCCTGACCCAAGCATAGTCGCGAAAACACGATCGCAACTCAACCGAAGATTGCCAGACGGAAAGAAGCTGCCATGGCCGCCGTTCGGCAAGCAGTGGTATGCTGGATGCACAACCTTGATCATTGGCAACTCGTTGAAGGCTGGCATAAGTATGTGGAACAGAATCAACACGGAAAAGCGACCGTCTGACAGGTCGTGTAGGATTTGTCGCATTCGACATGTACAAGAACATGCTGGCGGACGCTGAAGGCAAAGTCTCCGGTCCAGCGACAGTAATAGCTGGATTCGGTGCAGGAGCTACAGAGTCACTGCTGGCTGTCACACCATTTGAGAGCATAAAGACGCAACTGTAGGTGAAATTGGACGCATGCATGTGCCGTTACTCACTCATCCGCCTAGTATCGACGACCGCAAGTCGGCAAACCCACGCATGCGAGGCTTCTTACATGGATCAAGGATAATCGCACAAGAAAAGGGTATCCGTGGTTTCTTCCAGGGTTTCCTCCCAACCACAGCACGTCAAGCCGCCAACTCAGCTGTTCGTTTCTCGAGTTACACATCGCTCAAGCAACTAGCACAGTCATACGTCAAACCAGGCGAGAAGCTCGGCGCCGTCAGCACATTCGGACTCGGAGGCCTGGCTGGCATAATCACTGTTTACACGACGATGCCTATTGACACAGTCAAGACACGCATGCAATCAATAGAGGCACGGAGCGCCTACAAGAACAGCTTCGACTGTGCGGCAAAGATTTTCAGGGATGAGGGTCTCCTCACCTTCTGGTCGGGAGCGCTTCCAAGATTGGGTCGACTTATCCTCAGTGGCGGCATCGTCTTCACCATGTACGAAAAGTCCATGGAGTTCATGGATAAGCTGGATCCACAAGGGCGCTACATATAGACATCCCCCTTGCTCCAGAATTAGCAACAAGTACAATACCCGACCTCCTACCAATATCTCTCCTTCAACCTGTCATCAAAATTGAGGTTTCAGATGCTTCATTCTCTCTATCTTCTCCTAACGCTTCTCCTCATTTAGGACGACCACCTACTAATCTTACAGTGCGTGTCGATCTCCTTTTGCAAGCTGCTAACGCAAGACTTTGCTTCCGTCACGACTCACCAGAAGGGAAATAGGGCACCGTCAGTGTGAATTGACAAAGTCAAGCCTAACCCTATCGTTCACACTATGGGCTTGAAGATTTAGAAGCAACAGAATTCTGTCCTCTACATTAATCTGGCCGAACCTCCACAACTCCATCTTTCGACTCAGCTCTTCCCAAATCCGACATGGACTCAAACGGCTTCCGCACAGCACTTGATGCCGCCACTAGGTTAGCCCATTATTCCTTCTTATGAACTTACTAAAAGCTAACATGTAATAGCTTCCTAGATACCCCAGTCGTCACGGTGTCTGTCGGTTCTGAGGTGGGGAACACAAAAGACTTCAGCGTCCACGAAGGTCTGCTCAAAGACCATTCTGCATTCTTCAACAACGCCCTAAAACCCAATCGTTTCAAAGAAGGCTTTGAGCGCCGAATATCCATGCCAGGGGACGATTCCAAAGTCTTTGCGCTTTACGTTCAGCTACTCTATCGTCCCGACCTGTTGTCCACCGAAATAAAACGAAACAGCGAGCTCTCTGAGCAAGAGTGTATTCTCTTAGCTGAGCTATACGTGTTCGTGGAAAAGATAATAGACGAGTCTACCAAAAACATCTTGTTAGAAGCCTTTAAGATTTTCTCATGGGAAAGGCCGTTTCCCGTTGCAGCAGCACAAATCATTTACAGTGGGACACCAGAACACGACCCTGCTCGTGCCATATTTGTACAATCATTATTCCGCTACGGCCAACAACGATCGCTTGAAAGTATCCTCGATACTGGACATCCCGATCTCTTTCGCGATCTCGCTTTCTGCTTGAGTAAGCGCTGCCATAAGGTACATGACAAGGTCAAGGTTGGTCGCAAAACCGTTCTTGGAAAGAGAAGCAATGCCCCGCCTCTCTACTTTCTATAGTGAGGACATATGATGAGGCTTAGCTAGATCATGATCTTCAGCAGCTATTGGTATTTGTTTCATTTTCCCTCACTGGCTAGGTCGGGTGATTTTGCGTGTATTGTATCCTTCTAGCCAGAGGTATGAACAAACGAGTTTATGGATGGGCGTTCCCATATGTTGAACTGGTCTGTGGTCAAAGTGATTTTGAAACTACACGTTTGTGTGTTATCATGCGTACCTTCACATTCACCTCCGCTCTGATCATTCGCACTTTTCAAACGCCCCAAACCCAAATCCACTTTCTAGCCTTAGGCATATAACTCTTCCCAGTCATTGCAAAGCAACCAAAGCAAGCCTGCAATTCAACAAATCAACAATGTCAGCGTACGCCGATCAGCTTCGCGAACAGGAACTTTTCTCAGCGCTGAAATCCCAAATCACTAGTCTTTCCACCCCACTCTACGGTACACGTTCCGAAGATGCATCAAAGGTCTACGATGTGGTTTCTTACAGCAGGCCTTACGACAATGACAATGTCGAAGAGCAACCATCACAGCTAAGTTTCGGTGTAGCAATAATCCTCTACACAGGGCCTCCAGCATCACCCTTCACACCTTGGACATTGATCAGCCATGTGGAGAACCAACCCGATATAATCACTGGGGCAAATCGTTTATTGGCAGATTTGAGGAGGGGCATGGGTGGAGTTATTGGTATGTCTTTCCACCTCTATTCTTCTTAGTCTTTTCTTGTTCGTAAGCTTCGAGCATTCCAGAGGACATGGGGAGAAAAACACTGCCATACTGGTTAGCTGATGACATGGTGAAAATAGGTGTTTGTATGCAGACGGGTAATTGGACGACAACACATGGGAGAATTCCCAATGTTGTTCCGGGAGTGGGCGAAGTAGAGCTAAAGGAATGCGAGAATGAAGAGGACTACGAGGAAGATCAGGACAGTATCGAACAGGACAACGAAGACGGTAAGAGAGACGATGAGAGCGACGAATTGGAGGACACCGGCAAGGGCGGCTGGAGCCCGCGATTGGAGTCTATCACAGAAGAAATATAGAAGCTTCTCGTATCAGATCTTCGATAGGCAGATGTTCCCCAAGTTAAAGATCAGTTCACGGGTATCAATTCAGTTGGAAGAAAGCAAAAATTAAGTTGAGAACACCAAAAGAACGCGAGTATCACATTGGAAAGCTACCTAAAGATACGTAAAGAGCAAATCGTGTACGTTTTCATCTGCCCGTGCCAATCGGACTCATCAGACCATTGCCACTACCGCTCGTGGGGCTGCGTACCATCATCGGCTTGATACTTTGAACAGGACTTAACGGATCTCGTTGGCTCGAACTCTGGCTGGAAGTGCCTGAGCTCAGACTGCCGCTGCCGTGACTGCGGTTGCGACCGTTGACTGGACCCGGAGTACTGAAGGGATTGCCGAGAATATATGTACCTGAAGCTGTGGGCTCGTCGAAAGCATCGGTGAATCCAGAGACGTTGGAGAGCATTGATGAAGATCGACCGCGACCGCCACGCATAGAACCAGGAGTGCCGTTCATGTGCGAGTGCATGGAGGGGAATGTGAAGTTGGAGAGACCGTTGCTATAGGGAGACATGGTCGTGCCTGGGAGATTGCCTTCAGGAGTGGTAGGAACGGACATATGCTGGTGCGCTTGCTGAAGGAGAAGCTCTTCGTACTGCTGGACGGTCACCAAAATTTGACTGGTGGCGACATTCTGCTCTTCAGTGCGTCTTTCGTAGCCGTTAATGTTACTCCGATACTGGTGCTCAACTTCAGCGCGCTGTGCTCGCAATGCCGTGCGCTCCTGTTCTCTTCGTTGCTTCGCAGTAAAGCCCTCTGCGTTGGCGGTTACGAGACGGTCGTGCTGCTCGTTGAGCCTGGTTTGACGCTGCTGAAGACGCTCCCGCTTCTGGAAGGCAGTAGAGATATCGGACTCCACACTTTGCACTTGTCGCTCAATCTCCTCCTTGGTCTTGTCGAATTCGCTAGCAACGGTGTTTTTGTTGTTACGCTCCTTCTTCCACTCTGCCTTCTTGGCTGCCGCCTCTTTAGCCTCATCCTCGGGAATGCTTCCCAGGTTTTCTGCTTGAACGGCGAACTCGGCGGCCGCGTCTTCAGCCTGGCGGATGTTCTGCGTGAATTGAAGGACGCGCTGGCGTTGGCGCTCGTCACTACCTCCGGCGTTGGCAAGGCGGTTGCCCAGCGTGTCCACCTCTTTCTTGATGTTGGTAATGGCTGTTTTGTGGTCCTTTTTGTTTCGCTTCAGGCGGTTGCGCTGCTCCTGCAGTTGCTGGTCGGCCGCGGCAATCGAATTCTTCAAGGTTGTCGTCGGCGAAGAAGGTCGTAGGGTCTGATGCGCTGGCGGAGAGGCGATAGAAGCTGAGGCTGGAGTACGCATTAGCATGGAAAGGCTACTAGAATGGACGGACTTACCAAGTTCGGTCACTGGACTGGCCGAGGTAATAAGGCTCGCTGAGTAGAATACTTCGTTGTCGTTGGTCCGAACAAACTCGCAGTAGTAGTTTGAGAGAGCCGTTAGACCAAATATCTCTCCAACCCAGTAGCCCGTTCCCTCTTGTCCCTGGAAACCTATCGGCTCGCTTTGTCGGATGCGGGTTGAACTCCAATCAGCACCGTTGACACGGATGTAGAATGGCTTTGACTTGTCTATCCCAGATCCGACACTAGAATCTTCCTCATCCTGCTCTTGAAGGCCAGCTCCACCAGATAAACTAACACGAAATGAAATGTCGGAAAAGCCGACTTCTGAAATCCAAACACGATCGTCCTCCGATCTCCAAACAGCGTTTCCAATGTGATTTGCGTCTTTTGCATTAGCCTCGTCGGCATCGTTGGCCGCCCGGCTACTTTCCATCTCTTTTAAAACTGTAACTTTTGTACTGGCAAGTGCAGCCCAGAACGGCTGCTGACTGCGAACATGAGTAGCTTGCTTCCTCTTCCTTCTACCCGTGCTCGCTTTATCCTTGAGAACTGCGGGTGATGGTCCCGGTGGGCGGCCATCGGTACTCGAAGAATTGGGCACGTCGGCGGTGGGGTCGAGGTTGGTCGAATTGGAACGTTGTAATGTCCCAGACTCAGGATCTGTCTTCTTACCAGTGGGCAAGGTTGCATGTTCTCTTCGAGAAAGAGAGCGTCGGATGATACGAACGACGCCTTGGGCCAAAATATGAATACCCAGGAGGCTGCGGGGCCATCCGTGGGGGGTCGAGAAGCTTTCCAAATATGTTGGCGTACTCGGCGGGCTCGTCAAGAATTCAAGGCCTCCCCGGGCGAGCCCCGTCCAAAGGAAGTGGACGATGTGTTGCCGGAGAGGCCTGAATCTGAAGACGTGGCTTGAAAGAATAATGACGAAGCATATGACAATGCTATTCGTCGTGCCCTTCTTCCCGGCAGCGGCACCTCCGAGAGCTATTGCAATGACGGCCTGTGCAAGATCCAGGAAGAAATTCTGCGCAGGCACCCACAGCAGCAGCCATATCAGCAATATGACAGTATCGGCAATGATTGTGGTGAAGAGCGAGGGCGTGCCGCCGGAGCCCTGAAAGATGTCGGTGAAGGAGGGGAAGGCAGAGAGGGCGGAGAGGGGGGTCCCGGCCTGGGGCGGGACAAAAGTAAGCGTTGCGAACAAGAACTGTACGACGGTGAGGACGGTGGGGGGAAGTTGGAGGAGGATGATGAGGATGGCGAGAACGTCCCGCAGAGGACAGGACGTGAGAATGGTGGCGGGCACCGAGAGCATGCTAGCCATGGACATGGAGGCCGTCTTGGAGGTGTTTGTGTCGGCGCGGCGAAGAGCTGAGGGCATGGGATCAAAGGGCCCGTTGGAGCCATTGTCGTACGAGCGACAGGCCTCGACGGGATTGTCTAGCGAGGCATCTGAAGCTGCGCGCGTGCGCTCCCCGCGGCGGGCAGAAGGTGCAGCGGCCATGGTGGTGTTGACGTGGGCACTCGACCCCGGTACTGAATCGTGAGCGCTGGCCGGCTGCGTCATCTCGGGCGTGTCTACATGGCTGGGGACCGGCGGCGTGGGCTCGTGAGTCTTGCCGTTGGCGTGGCCATTGAGCTGCGGATTGCTCTTCTGCTTGGTGATCTTCCTGCCGGGGGCCGCAAGGCCATTCTCGTGTCGCTTGTCGTGCGCCGCGTTCCTCTTCGACTTCGCTACCATAGACGGCGGTGCGGGTGCAAGCGGGCAAACCTCTCCCTGGCGCGACTCGACTGCTGCACAGGACGAGCCAGGACTGAAAGATGTTGAGCCGCTGCTCGGTGGGGGGTATGTGAGGGTGTCGTGTGCTGCTGGGCGAGATGTAGTAGGGGAACGAGGAAGGTGCCCTGCGCCTGCTCAGTCGTGCCTTCCGCCGGATGGACTGGTGCCAAGACTTGCAAGTGCTAAACGTCAAATGCAAAGTCAACCAAGAAAACCCGTCCACAAGCCTCGAGGGAGTGGGCCACGGCACGATCAGAGCACTGACAAGCCACGATGCACCTGCCGCTTGATTTGCCTGTCTCTTCCGAGGCTCCACGTCTTCTGAGATGCCCGAACCGTGGTTTCACCACGCCCGCCCGCTTCACATGCACACCACATCCTCTCTCTCGACGCACCACACCGGCGGCAAAATTCCATGTGCCCGGCTTCTACCGCTTCATGGCAACCATGCGGCCAGCATATCTTGATGCTGCTGCCACGCAGATCAGCCGAACTGTGTCCGATTCCAGTTCACGATGCCGATCTTGACCACGACCAGGAAGCCGTGAATGCTGTTTACCTGGGAAGCGAAGACCGGCCTGTCCCTCTCGGGCTGCCATTTCGCCTCTCTCCCACCTCATCTCGCCTTCGTCTACATAAATTCTCCGCCTGCTTTCTTTTCCATATCGCACAGCTGCATCGCCCGCCAGACAAACACATCTTCTGGGGCAGCCAATTAGCCTGCGCCGGCTTCTTTAGCTTACCTGCTCATTTGCGTGCGCCAGGACCCCCCTGAGCCATAGCAAGCTCCAGGAGCGAATAAAGGCGCGCTTTGTCTGTTCACCGCATGGCCTGAAGTCTCTGCAGCGGGCAAACCCCGCCGACGCTATTACTCACGTCGCCGTCACGACCATATTCCATACGCGTATAGAGCGCTTCTGCCTAGATACTCATTGCTACATCTCGAGTGCACACAAAGTCTGAAAAGCTCATGCCACTCATTGCGCCACATGCCCTCGAGTATGCTGACCCGGGTCTTTGTCGGCATCTCAGAGTGGTCGGAGCATTTTCATCAATCTGTGTTCCCTCGAGGCGAGCATAGCGCGCAAGCCTTCCGCCTGCACATCCATGACCCTCTTCCGCCCTCTGCATTGTGCCGGCGTGAAGCTTAACCAACCACGCCAATCGCAGCCCATTAGACTTGCAAATGAGGCAAGCGGGAACATCACGCGCGCAACGGGCTTGCAGATCTCTGCAATAGGTAATTAGAACATCCCATCAAAGTGTACATCACTGTGGTGAGAATCACGCCATGTTGTGGATACGTTCGTAGTTTATCTTTTTTCCATATCGCTTGCAGAGATACGCTTGTATCCGACTGCCATACGCCGAATTCGGACACGCGAGCAACCCCGCGTGTTTTCCGCCCATGCAGCTGCAGGGGTATCAATGTGTGATGATGATAGATATGACGATACCTATGTAACGCCGCTAGTCAATCCTACTCTACGACTTGTATTGTCATCGATTAGCGTTGCCGACAGCTTCGCAGTACCGAGGCAAGTACTTTCACGGGCCAGGGGAAACAGGACATCAGGACACAATTTCACGAATCCGAAGTATAGACCGACGTATAGACATTCAGGGTCTGATATCGTGTTTTCTTGCAAGTATATCCATGTTCTACTGATTCGCGCTACCAAAGTCTTCCTTAGCATCCGGTCTATCCCAGCTGCTCTTCTCTAGCTCCCTAACTCTGTCCAACAGGACTCTGACTCTGTTGCTGTTCTTCTCTTTGGCTTCTTCCTGTAACTTGAATGTCTCTTGTAACTTCTTGATCATGAAAGGTGGCAAAGGCGACTTCTTAGCTGTGCGGTAGTCGTATGTAACGATGTCTTCGACACAACGTGCTGCTGGACGACGCTGTGCTTCTGAAAGGATCATTACGTCCAAGATGAAGTGGTCACTGTTTTCAGACGGGTTGTCCCGAAGCTTGTGAAGTACGGTAATCCTGATAGTTAATCCGTCAATCGTTGCTCACTATGCATCGTTGGAGATCATACCTATCAGGCCATTTCATAGGCTAAATCTTCTTAGCGGATGTTTTGAAAGCTGAGCAACCGGAGTTCCTAGCGTTCGGTACTCACAAACTTGTAGTCCGTCTTAATGCTTCTCAAGATCAAGCCGACGCTCTTTGGGGTCATGAGCTCCATCCATTCAGCTTTATGCTGTGGATCCATTGCGGCGAAGTTCAGTGTCCAGTTGACTCTAGCCGATTCCGCATACCGGTTGTACATAACATTGTTAACGTGACCTATCTCATATTAGAGCTGTGCAACTGAGACTCAGGTATAGAAATAAGTACCCTTCACATCTATTAGTATGGGTCAAACTGAATCTTTCCCCGGACGTCTTACCATGCTGTCCTACACACAGTCGGGACTTATGTTAGCCGGTGTACACAAGTTTGCTGGGTGGTACTCCAACCATTTCTCCCCATACCACCTCTTGTCGGTAGAGACCTCGCCATTGCTTGCCTGTGAGGAAGCCTTCGCTTCCAGCTACAAGTTCTCTCCCTACAGATTACAAGTTCAGCTAATATTCAGGCGATCAGGACATACGAGTGTGATCTTACAGTCTACCGCAGTCTCTTGTAATATCGACCCAGTTTCTTCAATCTGTGCGGGGTTCATTCCGAAATTGATGCATTTCCCGATGCGTGTTCGGACGTCGGATAGCCATCTTGGGCTGAGAGCTGCAGTGGCTGGTGCTTCTACATCAGTCTTCTAGTTAGCCACCGGAATGCTAAGGCTCAAATTGTCTCTATTGGCTCTTGTAATGGTAAATATGAGCTCGTGTGTGAATTTTGAGCATACGGCATGATTACTTGGTTGGTAATGCTTCGTGATCCATTTCCTTCTCCTTTTGGCCAAATTGTACATGTCATGATCAGATGTGAATGATGCAGTCTTACTGCTAGAAACGATGAATTTAAAACCACGTACCGCTCGAAGTAGACTGATACCGCACATAAGGAACTCTCTGTACAACCGGAACAACCAGCCACGTGGGTCTAGAACGAAAAAGCGCTGAGCGCCCCAACGGTCGCACAGCACTCATGATTGCCAAATTTACAGGCCAATGAGAGATCAAATGCGGTGGTATTCACAAACCGTTGTAGCAAGCCCTTGAGAGCTAGGGCGTTTCTTTCCGAGGATGCGGACGGAGAAGACAAGCCGAGGATCCGCTTCCTCCACGGCCAGCTATCTTCATCCTCAAGTTCGCTAGCCGCAACATACGTCAGGGATGCGGGCCCGAGCGTTTGCTACAATTACTCCGCATTCCAACTCAAAGACACGTAATTGACATCTGACAGCCTTCAAAATCAGTGTTTTCTATTTCCGTATATTCATCTGTCTACAACCTCGAACATGGCTTCCCCGAATCCCGCGCTTCGCCACCAGGTCATTCGGATATACAAGGGTGCGCAGAAGTGCTCGACCGAGGCTCTTCCCGATTATGCAGATGGACTAATGACATGTAGACTTGCTTTTCATGGGCCGTGAATATCCTCAGGGATACGATTACTTCAGAACACGCCTACACAAGGCGTTTGCAAGCCAAAAGAATTTGACCGATGAAGCCAAAATTAAGCAGGGTATTGAGAGAGCGGAATACGTGAAGAAAGGTAAGCTCGTCTGAAACGAATCTGACTAGGACAAAACTAACCATTGTGGTCTAGAAATTGAAGCACTGTATGTCCAAATAACTCAACAAATACGATTGAAAGCTTTCCATAACTAGATTCAGATACTATCTGAAGCGTTATCGCACCTTGCGCCAGCGCTACGACAAACTCGCCTGAACACTCCAAAAAGAATACCTAACGCTTTGCCGACGGTGTGGCCTTGCGAAGACCGGGATATCACAAAAAGACAAGGTACGCCCGCTCTTCGAACTTTACACCTTCTTGCACCACCAGATGCCTACTTCCAGACACTCACCACTCGAGGCACCCTTCTGCTCAAGCAGATCGTTGATCATCGAGTTCCAATAACGCTGCCATTCCTCCTGGTTCTTTCCGCTAACTTCTTTGAGTAGAGGCTCCAGACTCTCGATCAATTGTATGACGACAAGCAATGCGGTGTGTCTCAGAGCCGCTTGTTCCTTGGTCAGAATGGAGCTCTCCAGCATCACGCTTCCCTTCTTGAGCTTTCCAGCCTCGCTTCCACGCCGCTTCATCGTCTCGCCAGCAGCCTCGCGCTCCCACCGTGGTTCACCGAGAGGGATTGCTACCCTACGGCTATTCATGTCGCACAAAGTATCCGTCTCCTGGAGTATGATCTGCGCTATACGGGAACAAGGGGTTGGCGAGAGCTTGCGCCGGTCCAGCGCTTCTTGAATCCAAGAGTTGGAGTCTTGGAGGTACTTGTTCTGCACATCGGTAAATGGCGTTGTATGCGAAATCAGGAACGTGCCGGTCGACTCGGCGACAGCGTACTCTTCAGGGTCTTTGCCTGGCGGAGGAGGAGGATGTGGCTGGATCGATCGGATAATGTGGTCCGTCTCCCATATCTCCAACGTGCCCTTGGACTTCAGGACCCGCGTACATTCATCGAGTATTCTCTGCGACGGTACTCCCAAGGGTATCACCATACTCAAGTCCTTCATGACGACGATGTCGAATTCCTCATCGTCGAATGGCATGGGCAACTTGCGCAGATCATGCTGCACAAACTTCCAATCGATGCCCTGGCGCTGTAAGTCCCCCGCGAGGTTGACGATATCGAGACCGGTGAAGGAGACATCTTCGTGGCCTAGGTCTGCTTACGGTCAGCTCTGAACGATAACTGTGCAAGTTGTGCGTGGCGCCCGGAAGAGGGCGCAATCCGCAACTACCTGGTCTTCGGAATACATACTACTCAGATATTCATGACACACGGCGGACCAGTATCCCGAGCCACATGCAATCTCCAACACTTTTCTCGGGGGGTATGATGGGGTCGAGCCCAAGGCCTTGCCGAAGACAGCTGTCGCAAGGAGGGTTTGTAGGTTCTGGCGGTGGAGCTCGGGCAGGTCGCATGGGAGTGGATAGCCCTGAGCGCTTCGAATGTAGCGGCGGCCGTGGCGCAATATGAAAGGTTCGGTGGAGGGGACGCCAGGGTCGTCTCTGATGCTTTGGGTGGAGCTGCTCGACATGGAGCCCCGCGTTATATCCATGTTGTTGTTTGGGTGGAGGCGTGGGCCGGAGGAGGCAGAAGCTGAGGAGGCGGATATGGTTCTACCGAGAGCGTCTGTGGTGGTCAGATCCCATTGCTTTGCTTCGACCGTCTTGGGGCGTATGGGCGGGCTGCTGGCGGCGTTGGAGCCGTAGTAGCGATACTGTGGTTCAAATTAGCAACAAAGGTTCTTCTGTAGAGCGCCAACAGTGTGTTCTTGCCAACTGCCAATCACCCATGGAGACGATCTGGAAGCGTGCTCGAGGTTATCCAGCCTACTCCAACCCTTGCCCCACTGTTTTAGCGGGAGCGCGATATTGGGCCGGTCTTTAGTCGTCTGATAAGCACGTGTAGGCGAGTCAGCAATTAATGAGCGGAACGGCGGAGCGGACGCGATGGCGGGAACAGTGCTCGACTGGAGAGAGATCAGATCAGAGAATGGAGCCAGCATGCCGTGTATGTGTGAATGTAGTAGCTTCGGCACAGCTCCGGTTGTGGGAGGCAGCTCAGGTGAGGAGCTGCCAGGCCAGCCGAGGAGACATCTCCAATCAAACGACTGCAGCTGCGGCTGTGTGAATCCCCAGGTTCTCCATGGCAATAAACATGGCTAGGCTGTGCGAGCGACGCCGCGAAGGAGCAGCTTTTGGTGATGTGGCGCTCGTCTGCAGGAGCGCGGCATCAGCCGAACCTGTCCTGCAGGTGATATTCCAGCGTGGGGAAAGCCCGAGTCTAGCAGTAACAAGCTCACGGTGTATGCAGTGCACGACGGATACGAGGACCACAGGGGAGGGGTTCTCGGTGTCACCAACAATCATGGACTATGTGAGCTGACTGTTAATACATAACCTGATGCGTGGTAGCAAATAGGTACAAGCTAAAAGTGCATAGGAATGCGTCGTTGCTGGAGTCGCATTCATGTGATCAATGTGTATTTACGCATGACGAATGCTGCCACTTGTTTCAAGGCTGCAATGTATACCATATGGTTACCCTTCCAGCGCGCTCGATCCAGGCCAGGTCGCGAGTGAACAGATGGGCAGTTTCATGGCTGTGGATCGACGCTTCCATGTCACGTGCCCCGCTAAGCGGCGCTCCCCATGGATCGGGCAAGGTTCGACTGGGCTTCACGTATCGCATCACTACGCTCTCTATTCTTCACAGCGCTGCAGTTGGACCCGCCCACAGTCTGTCTGGTACAATTGAGACTGATTGCCCTCCTGCGCGCCCTTTGACATCCTCAGCTGCCGTACGTGCGCCGCTTCCACACGCTTCTGCCGCCCTCTCCAAGCTCCACGTCCAACCTCTTCGATTCCCCGCTACACCAACTGACAGCTCCAGAACAGTACAAGCCCGCCGGGATATCAATACGAGCCCTTTGCCCGAGGCCTTTATTACCAACACGCCCCCGACCCCCCAGAAGCCGCCCCCCTCGCTCGCTGTCGAGTCCCCGCTCCAACATCTCCCTCACTCGCGACCCGCCGGGCTGTCGATACATGGTATACGGGTGCCGCGTCTGTTAGCGCGTGCTCATGTCGGAGAGTCAGCCGGGCGCCCATGTTAAAACGAAGAAGATCGCGTGCCCGAACCCTTCCTCCCACCTGACGCCCTCGCTCGCCTTGAAAACCCGCGGCTTTCACCCTCCATACGCAAAGCCGCCTGCGGGAATCCGTCCTCCCTCCGCCGCGATTCCCTTAGATGGCCGAGTACTCGGTCTACCCCAGGGGAACCGGCAATACCTTCTATCCACAACACGCACAGAATATACGCAACCTCCCCGGCCGAGTGCGGTCACCCACATCTAGCGCCCGCATACCTTTCCCCAACCCCGACACCCCCTCACCTTCGCGATCCCCTGGGCGCCAGTCTTCTCCGCAACAGTTCGGCATGTTCAACAACGCCCATGGGCACCAGGGCCAAAACGTTATGATGAACGGGCGAGCTGGGCACCAGAATTTCATGCAGCAGATGAATTTGGGGAAGCCTTTCCAACACAACCAGCACAACCAACATCAGCACCAACATCACCAGCAGCACCATGACATCACGGGAAACAACCATGTCAGCCAGTTCAACCACCAGCACAACATCTCGAGTGGGGGCATGTCCAATGTTCAGCCCCACTTTACGCCGGGGCATCTCCAGAACGGTACACCCAATAGTGTCCACAGCGGACTCAACAAGCCGACAACCGAGCACTGGCAAGAGCAGATGAAGCTGTACCAGACAGCCCGTGAAATGACGCAGGCTCATTCGCATGCCAGGATCCACCCGAGCGTTAGTAAGAGCGTTGTGGCAGGAACAAGCAATGGGATGCAAAAAGAGGCAGACAAAGAAGAGCGCAATAGGCCTGCTGCTCAGCCGGCGCAAGATGCCAAGGACCAACACATATGGACAATTCTTGACTTTGGCGGCCAGAACCTCAAAGTCATCACACCCGCTTTGTTCAATTACACCTTCCTGACGAAGCTCTACCTCAACTCGAACAAACTCACGTATGTGCACCAGAAGATTGGACAACTACGAAACTTGACACACCTGGATCTCTCCCTGAACAATCTGCAATACCTGCCCCCGGAGATTGGCATGCTAGTGAACCTGAAGCAGCTGCTCCTGTTTGACAATCACATCGAAAACTTGCCGTACGAACTGGGCTCACTATACCAGCTAGAGATGCTTGGTATTGAGGGCAATCCCATTCCGGACGACTTGAAACAGATCATGATGGAACAAGGCACCACGGAACTTATCAAACACTTCCGCGAGAACGCGCCTGGTCCTGAAGCGCCACCGGAGCGAGACTGGATCGTTCTCGACGAGATCCAAGATACGAACCAAGAGACTGTCAGTGCGCTTAGCTACAATATTCTGTGCGACAAATACTGCACACAATCACAGTATGGA